GAGCCGCCCCATCGTCAAGGGCGGCGGCAGCAGCAGCAGCAGCGGTGGAGGAGAGCAGCTGAGCAAAACGAACCTGTACATCCGTGGCCTCCACCCAGGAACCACAGACCAGGATCTGGTCAAACTCTGTCAGCCGTAAGTCAACTCCAAAAACCTAGAACCCGAGGTTCTGTCACACCAGACCGCAGTTTTCTCCGCTCCCCTCAGTGTAAGCCACTCATTTCAAGTCAACCACAGAGCAGAGCAGGATTCTACTGGACTCCGTTTTCATTATCACCATAACTGTTACCTTCATGAAGGCTTCACAACAATGAGCTTTTGGTACTCAAATAGTGGGGCGGGTCCCTCTTAGAGGGGCGCATTGAGGTGCCGAGGGGGCCTGAGGGGCCACTGCTGTAATGCTTGAATGACAACAAGCCTCCAGTCACTAGGTGGCAGCAACTCATACAGCAGTTTGTACAGATTATAGTACACATTATCAGGGGTGGGTGGTGAAAAACAATCTCCTCATGACAGCGCGTTTGATGTTTTTGGACCTAGGATTAGGAGCAAAAAAATAAGATGAAAAACTCTGGGTTTTATCACTGGTTCTTGTGTTCCCAGTCAGCACATATACGAGTGTGTACTCTTTTAGAATCAACTGCATCAGAACGGGTTATTTGATGTGATGGATGAAAATGACTGGAAATCCCGTCTACACCTGTCCTGAAGTTTGAAAACACTGGACCTTTAGAAACGTCTGGTTTTCTGAAGCAGTGACTGGGCTGCATCAGCACGGCCAAATCCAGTAGATCGATGGCTTCCTTATTTTAGACAAGAACATGAACGTTGGAGAGAAGCGGCCCAGTGTTTTATCCAGTGACCATATGGAAAAACCAACATGACCACGACTCCCGCTGCACTCATGGCTCTGTGCAGACTTTCCAACAACTTGGTACAGAATGTTTAGTCTCTGATCCTCGTGCTCTTTCTGTACGTCTGCTCTCGCTCTCTGACACTAACATATGAATTATAGCTTCTACTCGCTCTCCTCTTCATCTTCGTCGTACGATGACTGCGTCGTGCATATTTAAAAGAGTTCGGCGCTTTGTAGCCACGGAGCGAATGCGAGTCTTTAAAACTCCGTTGTGGGCAGTCGAGACTTCAAACAGACGGCACCGCGCCATCCATCTCGAGTGTTTGTTAGGTCTTCGGTCTGGGACTTCAAAACAAGCAGGGCAGAGATGAATGAAGTGGGTCTACTTAATTCAAATCTGGAGCCCGGTGATGAGAAACAGAAGAGAGAAAAAGGGAGGGAAAAGCTTCTACAGGCAGAGAGGGAGAGGCCTGCTCTGTTACAGCTGTCTGCAAGATACGGCCCACATGAGGCTGCCCAACCCTACAGGAAACAGCCAGCCCAGGGGAAAGGGAAAGGCAAACAAGGGCAATGGCACGAAGAGGGGGAGGCGGGGGGAGGGCAGATGGAGAGAATCAGGGGAGGTGGAGTGAATGGAGTTCAGGGTTTGTGTGTCAGGTGGTGTTCTGTGGGGGCAGTTCTCAGATTTCTGCTTTTAGCCAGCAGATAAAAATCGCTGCGTAAAATTGCTGCCTTTTAGCAGAGCTCCTGAAGTCTTTGTTGTCAGTGGACCATTAAAAAACTGTAGCGGAAAAAAACACAAACAAGCACGCACTCGTCCCCACGTATCTGTATATATGTTGCGAATGCAGAATGAACGAAGCAACGTTGGTCGCCATCTACGACTCAGAAATGTCGAAGATCCACGAGTCGTTAACCAGGGAAAGGGTGAGGAAGGAGAATGTGTGACAACCAGGAGACGAGTCAGGGAGGGGGGTTGGACATATGGTGGTGTAACTGAAGTTTGAAGAGTTCATGTGTATTCTGTCAGGACACAGAACTCCCAACAGTCCCCTCCCCCCACATATCCAGACTTGGTCGTATGTACGGGGTGAGGGATGAGAGGAGGGGGTGGGGGTTGGTCCTCCATCTCCAACTCCTTCCCTGGTCTCTGTGGCTGCCTCCCTGCAGCTCCTGGTTCTTCTCTGCTGCTGGGTGCTGGACCTCCAAACTCCGTTCGGTCACATGTGTATCTGAACTGCGTGAGCTGCAGATCAGGGAGTTGTCGGGAGACTCACGGGGCGGGTTTGTGTGTTCCCACAGTAACGATGCATAGGAGAGAACAGGAAGGCCGTGTTGGCACATGTATCCAGTCCATTTGGTTGCAGCTTATGGTTGGGAATCAGAGATGAAGCATGAAATAGTAATGTCAGAGATGAGGTCAGATGCATAATACAACAGATCCTCAGACGTGAAGGGTTAATTCAGTTTTAGATGAAAGGATTTCAATAGATATTTTAGTGCAATACTGAATGTTTTTTCAATCCAAAGTATGTATAGAAATATATATTTATATATACATATAGGTGTATAAACTGTATGTGTATGTATATAATAAATATATAATATATCCATAAAATAAAATCCAAAATAGTTTTTAATCTAAATTGTGTATATAAATATAACTATATGTAAATATATATATACATATATGTATATGGATATATATATATTTATACATATATACACTACTGTATATTACATATATAAATATACACGTATATGAAAATACATACATACATTTATATGTATATATATAAAGAAAAAACAGTTCTTGACTAGAACTGCTTTTTTCTGACAGTATCTTCATTTAAATAATTTCTTCTTAAATAGAAGTACTGCACTTAAGAAAAACCAGTTCTGACTAGAACTGCTTTTTTCTTCTTAAATAGAAGTACTGCACTTTTAACACTGCTGAATGAACAGCTAAGACACGAGTGCGAGTATTGACTTATTAGTGAATGTAGTTTTTACAATCAGGACAAACGCGTCCCCTGTACGTCTGTACCGACGCCTGGTCACATGACTGCTTATCTGTTCGAAAGTGTCCAAATTCTAGATTGACTAATCCTGAGTCTTCGTGGTGTGGCGTCAGTGGAGTGACACCAGATCACTCTGTGATGGGACACTAAGACCCAGTGGAGGCGGTAACACTGCCTGGAGTGAGAGTATGGCTGGGAGCCAGCCTTGGACGGGGCAGCCAAGGAGAGCGGGATCAGATTACACTGCGTGCACATGCCTGGAGAGATGGGAACTGATAACACACACAAATGCATTTACCCACTATCCTGTGCATCTGCAGGCTCCAGAGTGGGCCAGCCTGCTTAGTAGATAATGCAGCGTTTTTAAACATCGCTCCATCACAGTGAAACAGAATAGACTCTTCCTGTTCTCTTCCCCTACATCTTTGTTTTACCCACTTCGCTTTCTCCTATAGGTTCCTCATCGACGTTTGCCCGTCAACTGTATGGAGTGCAGTGATATTGAAAACCTATAGCCCGGCCGCAGGACATTTCCTGCTCCGTGTTATCCAAACATCTCCCTATGCTCATCATTTATTATCAGATGGTGTAATTACATCAAGTGTCATTTCTCTGTCCCCTGAATTATAATTCAATCATAGAGGAGCTCAGCCTCTGTGGGCGTGGCAGGGTGAATGGAGAGGAGCTGCACTGCGTCAGCAATGTAGCAAAGCACAAGACAGCAAAAAAAAAACAAGCTTCCGCTCAGTGTCTGAGTGTCTCCCTGTTTTTCCAGGTACGGGAAAATCGTGTCCACCAAGGCCATCCTGGACAAGACCACCAACAAGTGCAAAGGTGAGCAGTAAAAACAGCAGCAAGGTCAAGAATGAAGGTCAAATGATCAATATATGTCAACAGGAGGGGATTATAGAAAATTACTAAATACTAATTACTGCGTCTCAATGTTAAGTCATTTTTCACTATTAGAAATCAAAAATATTGTAAATATAGTCACTGTTAGAAATCAAAAATATTGTAAATATAGCAATATGCTAAAACATGCTAAATGTTAGCCTGCAGATAAGTAGCTGTAAATGTAGTAAGATATTGAAAATGAAAAGATCAAGTCAACATTAAAAAGTTAGCATTGACGCTCTTTTGTTTATGCTAACCTCCTGTGAAGCTGTATTTATATATATATATATAAATAAATATATACAACAGCAGACATCACTGTGTTAACTGCTAACATCTGAGCTGCTGGTAGTCGTCTTCTGATCCGTGAGTGGCCTCTGACTTCACGTCAGTCTTGTGTTGAACGTACCTCATTGTCACACATTGTGTTTCTTCCTGTGTGTCTCTGTCCCCCCAGGCTACGGCTTTGTTGACTTTGACAGCCCGGCTTCAGCTCAGAAGGCCGTGACGGCGCTGAAGGCAGGTGGTGTTCAGGCTCAGATGGCCAAGGTAAGAACGCCCACGTGTTGGTTCCACGTTGGTTCACCCACCGCTTCCTTCATCCTGTAGAGGGAGGTGGAGGTAGTTAGAGCCAGTACCTGCTGACATCAGGTGAAGGACGGGCTACGACCTGGACGGTCGACCGCACTGAGTCACAGAGAAAACAAAACCAACCAAACAGACAGTCAATTTGACCTCATCTTTAATCTGTTTCTGGAATGTGGGATGAAACTGTAGAGGCCTGAGGATGATCCATCAATATTTGATCATGACCTAATTCAAACTCAGGCACGGTGCGGCCCGTGGGCCACATCCGGCCCTCTGACCGACATCTCCACCCAGCCCGTGTGAGATTGTCGTTAAATGAAGTCAGTAAAATCAGTCAGCGTAGCTGCGTACGAAAAACGACTGCGAGGCTTTTATTTTGAAGGCCACTATTTTAGGTTTTTGCTTCTAAAAAATGCCGTCCTTCTTCATGGACCTTCACTGAAACGTGTCAGTGAACGTGTTGGACTGTTTTTCTAATGTCCCACACAAGTACAAGAAC